TCTCGTACGTGTATCACAGCCACGACCAACTGATCCACGTGAAGTAATCATATCAGTACGCGTATCTAAAGGACAATCAGGACATTCAGTTCGTTCAAACTTATATGATTTTCAGTATAAAAATTATTGCATTAAAAATCATTCCAAAAATGTTCATAATTAAATGAAATTTGAATAACAAATCTTTTAAATTACTTTAAAACTAAAATATTCAAAAAAAAAAAAAAAATCTCATTTTTCGTGAACCAATAATCCTTGTAGATTCGACATATAATAGTTAAAAAGCAAAAGCTTCCAAACGGTCAAATTGTATGGATTGCAATTGAAGCGATCAAATTTACATCATTCTTCGAATTAATTGATCATTACGTGAAACGAGGCGATCCAATTAATCCTGAAGTAATAACTTTTTACTAAGAAAAAAGAAAATAAAAAATACAAAGAAAACAAAGTTGTAAATTAAAAAATTTCAATAATTATTCAAAATTGTCTCAAAAATTTACAAACGAAAAATTTTCTTTTGAGAGAAATTTATTAATTGATAAGTAGTATTCGCTATTATAGAAAATATGATTTATCGATTTTTCTTTCCTTTTTTCTGCATTTTCAATAGCAAGCATAATTTCAATATGGTTGAAATGATTAAATCTTCTTTTAATTAATTATTTACGTCATATTTGAATAATAAATTATCATTTTAGCTAAAATGATAAGCAGAAGTAATCCATTTCGTTGTCCTTTTTTTTTGTAAATTATTAAAATCATTTTTGAATAATTAAGAAAATTTTTAATAATATTCAATGATACATTATTGGTTGATTAGCAAAATTGTTATTGAGACTAAATTGCTCGAATTTTTCCATAAAATCTGCAATTAAAAAATTTAGGTCAATAAAATTTTATGAAAAAAGGAAAGAAATGAACCATAAGAATTTAATTATGATGATATTACACCTAATAAAAGAAAGCTTTAATTGCAAAAAAAGGAAAAAAAAAAACCGAATGATTAAAACAACTTTGAAGCATATTTCCCAATTTTTACAGTAATTAATTTAATTAATACTTTTTTTTAAAAAAAGTTTTTAATTTGAAAAAAAAAATTTTTAAAATATTTCTATTATACAGCTGGAAAACAGTGTATTAATTAAAGCAATTAATCGTCAACCATGGGAATTTAGTCATGATGATATTACACTTAATAAAATGCTTGGCTCAGGCGCATTTGGTGAAGTGCGATCCGGTGTATTGACCATTAAGAAGAAAAAAATTGAATGTGCTGTGAAAATTGTTAGTACATAAAACGAAAGTAAAAGTATACTTTAAAAAATAAAAATTTAACTTAATTGATGTTTATCATCGATCAGTACGGTTGGATTTAATTTCTTACTAAAATTTAAAAATGAATGCGTCAAAAAAATCAATTGTATTGATTTTGATGTTTTACTTCTTTTATTTTTTTTAAAAAAAAAATTGTTTTACTTTTACTTTTGATTTAATTAGGCTAAACTTACGGTTACGGAAGCGCAAATGGCATTTCGAAAGGAAAAAATTAAAGAAATGATGCACGAAGCACGTCTAATGCGTCATTATGATCATGATAATATTGTTCGCATTTATGGTGTAGCAGTTGATCGTGAACCATTGATGATTGTGATCGAATTAGTAATGATAATATTAGAAACTTATATTGCTCATTTAAAAAAAAAGTTAAAAAAATTTTATCAGAATACATAAAATTTAATTTCAGAAATCAAAAAGAAATAAAAGCAAAAGAAAAAACATTGAAATTAAATTAATGAATTTCAAAAATTTCTTAATAAATTATAAGTTATTTTTCTCTCTATGAGTATATAGTCTAAAAAATTAATATAATAACTATGATATTGAATAATTAATGATAATTTGCAGATTAAAGGTGGATGTTTATCAGATGATTTGAGACAGCGAAAAGGTAATATCACAGACGAAGAAAAAGTTGAAAAGATGTGTCTCGGTGCAGCATATGGCTTGCAATATTTGCATTCAAAGAAATGCATTCATCGAGATATCGCAGCTCGAAATATTCTATATACAAAGGATAAAGTGGTCTGATTTATTCTTCATCCTTTTCAATTTTTATTCATTTCTTTTATTGTTTTCATTAAATTATTAAAAACTTCATTTTCTCATTTCATTATTTTCTTTATTTATTAATTAATTTTTTTTCGGTGTTTTTTTTTTAAAAAAAGAAATTTCTTTTTATTAACACATTTAATTAATCGAAGAAAAAGAGGAAAACATGCCGAAGTAATGTGACAATTTTTATAGGCTAAAATAAGTGATTTTGGTATGTCACGAGAGGGGACAATTTATAAGATGAAAACTTCGAAAAAAGTACCAATCAAATGGACAGCACCAGAAACTATTGCTACATTTGTTTATAGTTTGAAAACAGATGTTTATTCATTTAGTATAATGATATGTGAAATATTCACTGATGGTGAAGAACCGTACAAAGGATTAACTAATTCAGAAGTTAAAAAAATGGTTATTCATATGAATCATTCGTTATCTTTGCCTTTTTTCTTTTGTTTTCTTTGAATAAAATTATGATATGAAACATATAACTTAGGTATTACGAGGAGAAAGGATGGAAATACCGGAAGCACCTGATGGTATATCATCATTAATTCGACATTGCTGGGATCAAAATGCGTCATCTCGTTGGACAATGAAAACGGTATTAATTTTTTTTCTTTTTTTTTTACCAAAACAAATTGATAATTTTTAGATCAAAAAAATACATAACACATGTAAGTAAAATAAGCAAAAATTTTGGAAATGTTTACTTTTTTTTCTTCTTTGCCTTTTTTTTTAAAAAAAAAAAATGGAAGAGAGAAAGCAAAAAAAGGCAAATAATAAATGTTTAAAAATTGTTTGAAATTTTGAATTGGCTTAATTAAGCTTTAGATTGCTTAACAGATTTGAGATGCAAAAATATACATACAATTATGATAGAAGTTTTTGCTTTTTTTGATATTATATGAGCGCTTGTTTACATATTATATTTGCTTTTGCTATGCTTCAAAATAATTTTTTTTAAGGCAGTGAAAAAGTTGGAAAGAATTGCTAAACAAATTAATCCTCAAGGACTACAATTGGACAATGTAACAGCAATTGCATTGGATTCAGGCAAAGATATGAGCTCATCCAAGAAAGCTATTAATTCCATTAAAAAAAGCTCATCCGTAAAAAGCATTCCCGATAGTCCAACAGTACAACAATTGGTAAGCACTCCTAACTGATATAATAGATAACAACTACAGTTTACTGATGTAAAGAAAAAAAAAATAATTAATTATTAAATGCATACTTTATTCAAAGTTTTTCTAAACATTTAATTGCTACTCAATACCAGTTAATAAAATGCATCATTAATTTGAAAATTTTCGATTAAATTTGATATACATAAAAAAAAATGAATGATGCGTATAAAATTAGCATATACAAATAAAATTAAAATTATAAAATTATAAACATAACTAAAAAAAATTTCTTTATCAAATAAAACAGAAAAAAGAATTTATGATAATAATGATTTCATTTAATTTTTAGAACAAAGGATCGCAAAACAAGAAAAAGAATAAATGATATTATTTTTGCTTCCCATTTTATGCTAATGAACTGTTTTATTATTTCATTCAATTTTAATGATACTATATAATTTTAAAATGTTAATTGCACTGCATATAATTATAATTAATAGGCGAAATATCTTAAAAAAGATTATGAAAAGAAATCTAACAGTGCAATATACTTAAGCTTATTCAATTTCTCTGATGTAATAATTAATTTTCCTAAGTTGATATTTACTTTTCCTGATATATTATTTATTCTTGATATCTAATGAAAAAAAAGAACAGAAAAAGATACTAATAATGGACTAAACAAGGAAAATAAAAAAATAAAACTAAAAAATTTTTTTGATCGTATTTAAAGCAAGTTGAGATATTTTAAAAAAAGTTGAGGTAAATTAAGATTTAATCCAAAGATAACAAAATTTTGCATTTGTATTTAATTATATAATTTCTGTGCAAAAAAACTATAAATTAGTAAAAAAATCAACTAATCACTAATCAATCAATCAATAGTATTACTATAATAAAAGATATTATTGTAATTTGTAGTTGAAATCAGAATTTGTTGAATTAGCAAATAGCAACCGAATTTTGCATAATCAGCAAAGTAGTTTTTAAAATCACATATGCAAAGAAAAAAGATACACCAAAAACATTCGTAAAAGAAAAAGCTGAGGTCAAAGGTTATACACTAACGTATAATTCTGTAAAGCATATCAAATAGCCTTTTAAGAAAGGAAAAAAACACACATATATATTGAAACATACAGTTCAAAGTACATTTGAAATTATGCTTTCTTCGCAAAAGACATGTTAATTAATTTTCGATTGTAAACAATAGCAGAAAAAATTGAGGTCAAAAGTCAAAGCGATTAAAATTTCTTCCTTAAAGTGGAGGTAATTGAACAATAAACGCAACAGTTACTAATGCGTGATTTTCACTTTTTTTAGCAATATTTTAAATCTCCTGCTTAAAAATTTTTTTTTTCCTTTGCTGGAAATTCTTGAATTACATTATCTTCAACAATAAATACATTCTTTTTTTTTTTTTTGGAACATTAAATCGGAATTTAAAATAGAATTGAAAAGAAAACTTTTTTTAAAAAAGTATATTAGTAAATTGAAAAAATTCAACTATTTGGTAAATTTCTTTCTCTAAAAATTTATATGAAATAAATTTCCTAATAAATATGATATTTGCATTATGAAGTATTATTTCATTATCATTGAAATTATCGTTTCACTTTTTTTTTTCTCTCTCTCTCTCTTTCATTTTGTTATAATATAACAATGTAGAAAAATAGAAATACTAATTTTCTCGTTTTTTTTTTTTTTTCTCGAAGATTTTTCCTTTTTTTTGGAAAAAAAAAAAGAAAGCTATTTTTAAAGAATGTTAGCATTTTTAGCTGCATGTAATGCTTTAAGTTGTTCCAATTCTTGATTTAAACGATTCATTTCACGTCGAAGTTCATCATTTTCCGCTTCCAATTGTTGCGCTCGTTTGCTACGATATTCAAATTGAGCGCGACGATTTGCGCGACATCGTTTTGCTGCTTCATTATTACGCCGTCGACGATCAATGTACTGTTGCTAAAAATACTTCCTTATAGTATTAAAGAAATATTTTCTAAGAAAAAAGAAGAAAAATTGAAATTTAAGTTATCAATTTTAAATTAGAATCGAATGAGTGAACAATTAATAACGTTACCTTGCTAGATGGTCGCGAGCGTAAAGCTTTAACAATTGCGGAATGTTTTGGTGCTGGACTAAGTTGTGATCTCATTGAATCAGTTGTACTATTATTACTGGTTGGTGATTCCATACTATCACTACTATCACTTTTAATTGTTTTACCGGAATACACTGCGTCCGGCTTAGATGATACATCGGATATCACAGTTCGTGTTCCTGGTACTGTTAAGGCGGTACTCAAATTTACTGCCAAACTACTCAAACAGTTTTTCAAATCATTCTGCAAACAAATCATTTCATTCAATAAATTGGAATTTTAAAACAAAACTTCTTTTTGAAACTATACGATCGATTTAAACTTCAAATAATTTGAACAATTTCAGCTAAGAAAGCACAATAGCAAATTAATGTAAGATTCGGACGATGTTGCAATTTGTTTTCACAATGCTGTTCAAGAAGCTAAACTATTTAAGCTTTCTAAATTAGTTATTAAGTTTCAAATTAATGTTGCATTTCAAGATCTTAATTGACTTATCATTTAAACTAACTTTAAGAATTAAAGGAAAACTACATTTTGTATTGTTTTATGATAAAATGTTTTATAATAATTCAAATTACATATATTAAAAGAACTTTTTTGTAATTTTAACTAAACGAAAATTTCATTTTTGTTGTATTTAGTTTACATCTTTGGGTGATGAATTGTTGAGACCGGAATGAGTGTCGGTTCGACTTTGTGCGACTAATGGTGAGGTTCGTTTAGTGGAAAGTAATGAGCCAAGCAAAGATCGTGGCTTATCATCCGTATCACTTTCTCTGGCTTTATCTGAAGAAGATGATGATTGTGCTAAAGTATCGTTCGATATTTGCTGTTCCGTTTCAGTTTCTGTTGATAAATCCGGTTGTCGTTCCAATAATTCATACCGTAGAATATGTGATGATGAGTCAGATGACGTTTCTATAAAAATGATGCATTAGGATATATTATCATAAATTTATTGATCATATCAGTGATATATTATCAAATAAGCAACCTTTATGAGTAGTACCGTGCATTGAGTAATCTAATGGTGCAATATCGACTGTTGAAGAATCAGGACTGTAACTTTGCGTGGAACTTGTTGGATCACGTGAACTATGAAATGGTTGAAAAGCACCATGTCCAGAAGAAATTGTGGTTGGTCCAGATGATGAACAATAATTCTGAAATAATTCTTTTTTTCTTTTACTCAACAAATAAATTTATTATAGAATGAAAAAAAAAAAAAAAGTTACGTCAAATATATCAAATGGTTACGTATATGCTTCATATATATTTATGTCATTGCTAAAATTAAGTTAAATTAACATATTTTAAAAATTAGTGAAAAGTATTACTTTATAAAAATTAATATATTATGTGTTAAAAGTAGTAACCTGTTGTACTTGTTGTAGTGCAGCTTGAAGAGTGCATATTTGTAATGCAGGAAGTTGTTGTGCTGCAGATGCAGACACTTGTGATGTAGCATTAGCACCTGCAGGTGTTAACAGTGATGTTGGAGCAGTTGCAGATGATGGAAAAATTGGTGATGGAATAGAACCGGATGATGTAGTAAGTAAAGGTGTGGCAGTAAATAAATGTGTAGGAAACATTGCTGGTAATTTTGATGGTGGTCCAATGACATTAGCCAGATTAGCTGCAAGAGTTGTCACCGATGAAACTGGTAGCGATGGTACCGTTGGTATCATTACATCAATATTATTCTTTCTTTGCGCTGTTGATACAATGACAGTATCATGAGCGGCAGATGTTACCAAGCGCAAAGTTTGTTGTTCTTGCTGCTGTTGTTGTTGTTGTTGTTGTTGTTGTTGTTGTTGTTGTTGTTGTTGTTGTTGTTTTTGTTGCTGCTGTTGTTGTTTCAATCGACTCCTTAGCAGATTATTTTCTTTAGTTAATTCGAGTAGCTTTTGTTCCATAATCTAAAATTCAATTCGAAAAATTTAAATTTACAAATCAACATGAATTTAAAGTACATACATGTCACACTTATTTACCATCATTTAGTTTTTTTCTTCATTCTGCCGAAAATTGAATTCTTATACTTCACAATGAGTAAAAAAAGTGTTTGTATTTTAAATATTGCAAATACCATATCATTCATACGACGCCTCTCACGTGACTTCTTTGTGATGTCGTTGTTGTGGCGTCGTTTTTCCCAAAACATATCATCTCGAATACTTTCATGTATGGATGTCCTGCTCCAGAATATTTTTTTTTTTTTTTTTTTTGTTAAAAAATCTTTAACATTTTTATTTTATCTCGTTTATCATTTTTTTCCCTTTTTTTTTTCTTTTTTTTTATAGGCAAATACGGAAACAATTAAATCTTATCTTTATATCACAACTAAATTCATTGGGGCTTTTTTTATCATTCTTATATTTCTAAAGTTTGATTAAGTGAAATTAAAAAAATTTTATGAAATGAACAAACCGTCTATTTGAATTGATATTAGATGGTGCTGGTGAAATGGAAGTTTCAGAACTATTCGATGAATCAGATGGTCTTCGATCTATGTGATTAGTTGAACAGATTAGATTCAAACCTCGTAATGATGAAGATGAATGTGAGCTTGAGCACGATTCAATATCTAATTCATCCATTACTCATCTGCAATTATCGCTTATTTTTTATTTTTAATTTACTCATTTTTAATATATTACCATAGTTTGGCATTTAAATTTTGCTAATTGGGTGAAAAGGAAAAAAAGAAAATAAGGTAAATAGTAAATTGAATCAGACATTATTGCTTTATTAAATTTTCTCTTTTTTTAGTTAAAATAATTTTAAATCATTAATTTTACATATGTATAACTAAAGTAGTAGGAAAAAAAATAATACAAATAAACAATTACTTTGTAATTTATTTCAAAAATTTCATAATTGCTAGTTAGTGAATTTTATTATTTAATGTTGAGCAATTTGATTGAGATTGCTTAAAATGATAGAAGTAGTGTTTAAGTATACGGTATCGACACCTATTAATTAAAAATCATTCTCATATTAATGCTCAAAGAGATGGAACGATTTTACGATAAGTTGTCAATAAAAATGTTGTTATGATATTAACATGATTATGATATATTAACATTGATATGATAAAGATAGTTATTATCTAGAATGTATGAGAGATATGATAAAGATATTGGCTATAAATGAATTTCAAGGCAGACTATGGTAATAATTATGTGATATTCATGCCGAAAGTAATAGTGGTGATGCTAGGAATAATAATTAGTAATTAATAATAAAAATGGTCAATAATAGTGATTCTAATAACATTAATAATAATAAGTAGTAACAATAATGGTAATAATAAATAATAATGATAGATAACAATAATAATAAATAATGATAAATAATAACAATAGTAAGGCAATAGTAATGATGATATAAAAACAATGATAATGATGACGTCATAGAGATGATCATAGTGATAATGAAGTTTAGTGAAAACAAGTTTCTCAGGAAGTGAAAGATGAAAATGAAAGTGGAACTGGATACAGTAATGTCACCGACAATGATGTGTGTGTGTGTGTGTGAGGATGAACCATCAGTGAATTCAATTTGAAAAACAAGATTTTCTATGTATGGGTGTCTCGATTGCATTACATCGATTTCATCCATAAATAATAACAATAACATTGACCGGTTACGGTTTCACATAACCGGATATTGATATCAAAAAGGAAGTGAAGGTCATTTAATTCTACGTATATACTTACTAATGCTTTCACTTATCTAAGAAGAAATCTTTGTTATTCCATTTTACCTTTGTTTTATTAAATCTTTAAGAGTAAATTTGTTGAATAAAAATCAAATGCTTAAAAATTTGTACAATCAAGTTAGATACTTCTTTTTTTATTTCTATATTTAGACATTATTTTTTATTGAATTTTATGCGAACATTTTAGTTATTTAAAAAATGATATCAAATTTGAAGTTGTCATTTTTAAATGAATTTTAAATGATTTAAATTAACACTGCACATAATGATTCAAATTGATTGTCACCACTGGAAAATATGCAATTCGTATGTGTTAGTTGTAATCGTATGGTCAGATGTATAATAACTTTTTTCCGGGTGCTTTCGTACTTAATTTCTCCAAACCTAGAATTAAGAGAAATTATTATTGGAATAATCAATAATCAAACGACTTGGAATTTATTCATCGAAATATTTTCTATCAATTATCAATTCTAGATTATATTTAACACTAGGAACTTTTTCTTTTCTTTTTTTTTTTTTTTTTTTTTTGGGTGACGATAAAGCTTGGTTAAATTGTATAGGACAACACCAGTTACAAACGATATATTTATCCTGTTTTCATCATATGTCGAATGATCATATCAGTTTGTTAATTTTACTTTTCTCCTCTGAATATATCTAAAATATCATTAGTAATATTAGAATAATTTCGCATTGTTTCCAAAAATTGTTGAATAAATTTGGGAAAGTTTGCAATAAATTTCGTAAGGATTTTGAAAATTAATTTTAAATAATCAATAAATAAAAATATAATGATAACTAATTCATTGATAGTATTTTGATTGATATTTTTTTTATATCTCAGAGAGAAAAAAGAAAGAAAAAAAATTATATGAAAATTCTCAAAAAAATATATATATATATAAAAGTTATTTGTTAGATGATTTTACTACATCTGATGATTTCTAGTAATTCTCTTGCTTGCAGTAATCTCGGATAACTCATAATATATTGTGATGATGATGATCATTCTCGGACAATTCCGCTATATTTGCTATAACTCTAGATGATTTATATTATATATGAAAATTCTAAATAATCTAAGCAATTCTGATATATCTGACAATTATAAATAATTCCGGTATGATATAGGAAATCTGAATGTTGTTTGTTTCCTTTTTTTTTTCTCCCAATTCATATCATCCATACATAATAAACTTTTCTCTCATCATTCTTCTCCAAACGTAAAATTATTGAAATAATATAGGAAATTAAATAGCGCATAGTAGGAGAAGTGAAAATCACATAGGGCGCAATTGTAATGTTAAATGATTAGTTGCAAGGTCATTTACTTCATGCGCAAATGTATTTGTGTTTTTTTTTTTTCTTTCTTTCCTCTCTTCTTCTTCTTCTTCAGTATTACTACAGTGTACATTTTGCACCTCAGACATAATCGCAAAAAGAGAACCCCGTCCAAACAGTATGTCCGTGTTTTGGGCGTATTATCTAATATTAGTACATAACAGTCACACCTGTCTATGTGTTCGAATGTGGGAATTAGCCTTGAAATGACAGGTAGGATGGATGAAAGATGAAGGAAGTGGAAATGAACCAAATGAAATGAAAGGGAGGAACGAATGGGTAAAAGAAGTGATAGAAAAATGAAAAAAAAAAAAAATTAATCAGTAGAGAATTTCCATTTCAATCGTAAAGAAAGGCTTTTTTTTGGATCAAAAAAAAGAAAAGGAAGAAAAAAGCTATTTTCCAAGGTAACAGTTGATGATTGCAAAAGAGATTTCATTCCTCAAATTTCCAATTTTTTTTTTTTTGTTGCGAGGTAAAATTGAAATATCAGAAATATATATGTAAATATAAGATAGCTCAATAGACTCAAAGAAACTTTTTTTATAGCATTAAACATTAAGCTTCATGGTGCTAAAATATATTTTGATATTACGAAAAAATTTTTTGATTAGAATATATTTATTTGAAATGAATTTGATTGAAACTATTCATTAATATATCTTAATTTGATTATTTTTGATTTAAATTGTCACTGTTTGATTAAGCATTTTAAGATATTTGATATATTTAGTGTATATAATTAAATGTAGTAAGAGATCAGAATATTAAGTACAAAATAAATTCATGACTGGTAACATTCAGGTAGAATAATTCAAATAATTGAATAAAACTAAATTAAACTGCTAAGTTTTCACATGTATTTGAGAGTATGGCTTTGTATGTAAATAAAAGTTATCAATTTCATTCGTAATATTTTAATTTCGCTTATGAAATTTACATAATATAGTTGGGAGTGTAAGGAGTAGTAAGAATTCAAAATTACATAAGCATAAATTAATTACACATGTATACAGATTAAGTTGTAAGTGAAAAGTAGCAAAATTAAAAAAAAAAAAATATTTTACTTTTTTCCGTTTGATTTTGGAAAAACACTTATTGCATAAAAATCATAAATGTGAACGAATATAACATATTTTACTAATGAAATTTAAATAATTCTGTCAAACAGCTCAATTGTGTATAAAATCTGAAACAAAATTTTATTTTTTAAAAATTTAATAGAAATGATTCAAATTAATAAATCAATTGATGAATAAATTATGAAAAGATTCAAAAATTGATAAAAATAGTGTATGGCGTGTATGTCTCCATCTGTATCTGTATGTGTGTGTGTGTGTGTGTGTGTGTGTGTGTATGTGTGTATGTGTGTGTGGAACACTGAACAGGTCACTGGAAGGACAAGCAGGGTCAGATTCCCGCCTCTGTGACCTTCATAAGGTCAATGTCATTAATCGTCATGTTATTATGTATATTCTGCTTGCTATCCATTATTTTTTGATTCAAATTTGTCAGGAATATAATTGATTTCACTCACCTTTTGACTATGAAAAATTCTTTATACTGAAATTAGCAAAATGAAATTCTTAAAATAAATGGAAAAGAAAAAAGATATAAGTAAATTAGGAACGGAAAGTTCCATAAAAACAAAATTAAAGGGTAGAAAACTTGCTGATTTTTAAAAATAAAAATAAAAATATTAAAAATAGAAAAAAAAAAAGAAAGGCGGACGATCAATATGAAAGACAAATTTGTTAAATATAAAAATTATAGCTGAAGAAAGAAAGCATAAAATAAAGTTTAGTCAATTTCATTATTTTAAAATTTAATTTGCCGTGCAGTTTGTTTTTATACATTTCACATTACATCATATTCATAATTTAAAATTGATAATACAGCTTTATTGAATTGCCATTTTCTAAAATTTTCAAATGAGTTAACGGTTTGGTCTATTGATAATATATTGTAAAAAAATTCTTATCTTTGTTTATAATGAAAATAAGGACAGAATTTTAAAATGAAAAGAGTAAACATTTAAACGAGAAATGATTAGTAAATTTAATTGTGTAAGTTCATTTTAGTAATTTCAAGTTCTTCTATTTGAATGCAGTATTGATTTACATGAAAAAAATTTTAAATTGCTAAATGAGTCAACTGAACAGTAAAAGAGATAGTACATGTTTAAAAAGGAGGATCAGGCAGCTGTTATATGTGCCATAAGTGGCTGAGAATGATATTTGCGCTCGATACCAATTTTTCAACAATTTAAAATCTGTTTTAATTTTGTTAAAAATGCATTCTGTTCCATTATATTACTAATCAGTACTCAATCAAATGGATACATTTTTGAATTTAGTCAAAAAACGACAAATAGATTAGTGGCTATTGCAAGTGACATGACCAAAAGACACTCGGACATGACGTCCAACATAACTTCGAAAAAATCGCTGACAGATGTCTGGTACACTAAAAAAAAAAGTTAAGAGATATAAGGAGAGACAACACATGTCTTCGTATCATAATCCACTGTCA